GACGCAATTCCTCACCGGTCATGGTTACTTCCGAGAATATCTTCATAGAATGGGAAGGGTGGACTCACCGTTCTGTCACTACTGTGGAAACGTCGAAGATAACGTGTACCACACATTCTTCACCTGCGAACACTTCTTTATTTCGCGCAGAATGTTGGAAGAAAGACACGGAGACATAACTCCGAACAACATAATTGGGGTAATGATCTCCAGCGCAGAAAAGTGGGAAGCAGTTGCGAGATACGTGAAATTCGTACTCCGCTGCAAACGAGAGGACGGTTGTCTACTGAGGACACCCGAATGAAACGCCCCTACAAAAGGCGGTGGGAGTTTGGGTTTTAGTGGGTAGCCCAACACGCTTCGGTGGGAGTCCCACACTCGGGGAAGGTAGTATAGAGACTAGCGCCCCCGCCCAGTGCATAAAGCATTTCCCTCTCCTACGACAAAAAAATAAAATAAAATAAGTATCTCAGAATTCCGTGAAACAAATTAAAATAAAAAACTTTGAAAAAAGAATGTTGATAAACAAAAACATCCTCAATAAAAATTCTATAAAAAAATATTTTGCAAACTAATTTTAAAGTTTTCACTTTTTGAATATAATAAATTAAATAAATATCTCACATTACAAATTATGTGGCAACCCTATTGAGAAATACGCCAGATTCAAGAGCACACATTTCGAGTGTGTGTATGTATATGTAATGTGTATACATATATATATACAAAAACAAAAAATGTTCGTTGAAATTAGACACAAATTTGTAATAAAAAAGTGGCAACCCTCAACGAAAATTTCTCTGGAATAAAATTCTCAGAAATACCTTTCTTTTGAAGTCCATATTAAATTATTTTAGTTAAATTTTGTAAAATCGAAAATAAGTGGCAACCTTACACTAATATCTTAAGGGATAACACTTACAACATACTATGTAAGAAAAACATTGTTTAAAAGCTTTCTTTTAGTACCCATAAAGCGTCGTAATGACTTATATTCTTAGAACTTTTCAATGAGGTTGTTCACAATTGCCTGGTTATCAGGTTATCTGGTTATGTGGTTATTTTTTTATTCAGCTTACAACAATAAAATACGCTACGGAATAATAAATAATTTTAAACCATATAATCTGATAACCAAGCAAAAGTGAACAACGTAAATGTAAAACTACGGTTAATATGAGCCAATAATATATTTCCAATTAGTTCAAAAAACCTTTTCGTGAAGTTAAAATTGGCTAAAAATTAACACCCAAATTCATAAAAAAATAAAGAAGATTTTAATTGCTTTGTAAATCGAAAATTTTTATGAAAATGTCACTTTATAAAGCTCCTTAAACCTATTTTATTTTTTATGAATGAGGCCATAAGACTTTAAGACATTACGACGCTTAGCACGTCTTGTGAATCTCTTAGTTTTATCTTAATTTTCAATCCAAAAATTCAAGAATAATCTTAAATTGGCGATATTTAAACTACTTTCCATTTGATACCTGTATTATGATGTATTTTGAATTTGTGCCAAACTTATACGAATATTCTCGGAGATAACACCTGTCTAAATAGCCTTAAAATTCAAAACATTATGTAAAGGAATATTTTTCTTGGGCTGCGGACAGATTGTATTGAAAATGGACGAAATCGACCAGTAATCAAATTTATAATCGCTACGATTCTTGGGGAAAATTTAAACCAAATTACTTTATATCGCAATGACTATGTACCTTGTAACGTTGTTATCTATTGAGATTAGAGTGTATTTTCTTTAATTGTTTTCATTTTTAATCCATTACAGTTTCTACCAAATGCGGGCGGAACGTGTCGAATGGTTTGCCAACAGAGATCCATTTTTACCAGAAATACAGGCACTGCTGAAGTTGGGCGTCTTTTTGCCCGTCGATGGTGTGGATTCAAAGAATCGTAAGGTGGTGATAATACGCGCAGCCGTGCATGATCCCAAACAACATTCCCAGAATAACGTTTTTAAGGTAAAATAGATTTTTAACTAAGTAGGATGAAAACTACAATAACATCTCATTTTCTCAATGTTTAGGTTAGTAAAATGGTCTTAGATTTACTGCTCAAATTCGAGCCAGACAATTGTGGTCGTGGTATTGTGGCTATTTTCGACATGGCTGGTGTACAGCTAGGACATGCGCTGCAATTGAATCCACGGATGATAAAACATTCCGTAGAGAGTTGGCAAGCTTACCCATGCCAACCGAAGTTATTGGAGTTCATAAACGCGCCGACACATGTGAATATCTTCTTGAACACTTTCAGGTAAGTAACTACTTAATATAAAACAAGTAAGGAAGTATAAGCTCGGGCGAAACCGAACTTTATATACCCGTTTCAACTTTTTCTAAACCACCTTTGCATGATAATCAGGACTTTTTTCCCGATTTCAAGCGTTTTCGATAATATGCTGAGTTAGGCTTAATGATATAATTGAAGCAAGTTTGGTAAAAATCGTTAAATTGGTTACCTTTGTAGTCATAAAGTGAGCGGTGCCACGCCCAATTCCTAAAAGTCTATAGAAGTCTTATTTATTGTTAAGAGATTGTTGCAACTATTAACTTGGATAAAATACGCGCCCTCAGTTATTGAAATATCGGAGTTTTCGTATTTCTGAAATTGACCGGTATAGGGGAAGCGGATGTAATTTTAGTCTGATTTGAATAATTTTTCACGAATTTGTTTTGCACACTAGGGTTATTAAGTGTGCCGAGTTTGGTAGAAATTGATAAATCGGTTACTGAGATAGTCATAAGTGGCGGCGCCACGCCCATTAACCAAAAATTCATAATAACCTAATTTTCTGATAAGTGGTGATTGCATTCATCGATATTAAGTGAATTAGCCTTAGTAGTTGCAGATTTATCGCAGTTTTCGTGTTTCTGTAAATTACCGTTCTATGACAGGTGGGCGTGGTTATTGCCCGATTTCAAAGACTTTCAACAGATTTCTTAGCTAAACCAAAGGAAGGCTCGTACCGAGTTTGGTAAGGATTGGTGAAGTGGCTACTGAGTTACAGCATTCCATCATAAGTAGGCGGGGTCACGCCCATTTTGCAAAAATTTAATAATGTTATTTTTTTACCACAATTCTACTTCACATACTGATTTTCAACAATTTGCATGCAATATTAACCAACCTACCTTGGATAAATGGAAACTTACATTGTTAGTGTGCACACCGACGGACGGACAGACGGACAGACAGACATGGCTTAATCGACTTCTCTATTTATTTATACATTTGTCTGTATCAATCTCGATCCGTTTTGGCTGTTACAAACAACCGTTATGTGAACAAAGTTAATATACCCTTGTGCACAAGTGCGCTCTGGTATAAAAATATGTATTACTTATTCATGTGTATGTATGTAGTACCCTTTAGTTACGAATTTTTAACAAAATTAAACATTAGTATGTATGTATTATTTGTTTAACTTTTAGATTATTTATGACACCAAAGATGCGATCCCGCGTTGTTGTACAAAAACGTCTAACTACAGTGGAATGTGATGAATTACCGAAAGATTTAGGTGGCAACGGACCGAGTTACAAGGAACTTGGTATCAAATGGAAGCAACTCGTGGAGGATAATGTTGATTTCTATCAGGAATATGACAAGCACAAAAGTATATTGGCAACATGAAGATGCTCAACGAATCCATGAATGGATATTATACCAATTAAGTAGATTATATATATATATGTATGTATATGGGTATCCGATAAGCTATAGATTAATTACATAAACAAAAAGTCCAAATAAGTAGAGGTAAGGAAATATTTTCATGCTGTACAACGTCAATGTGATTGTTATTTTTGTAAGGGGTCTATAAATAGATACATATGTATATGTATGTATATATTATTTTAAATGAATTTATGTTGAAGTGCCCCAGCAGAAAAATTCGAAAGGCAACTATGGTGAGCTTCCATAATTCCAACCAATTACAATTATAAACTTAAATGTCCATATATAAATTAATAAAAATAATAGAGAATATTTAGTAGATAATCATGTGATTAGAAAAATGTAAGTGTTTTAGTTTAGTCTATTAAGTTAGATTAGGACATGAAAACAGTACAATGAACGGCTGTTTTATGCACGTGTTATTTTACGCCTGGGGCTCTATTCTGTAACTGTGAGTTTTCAAGTGTACACTGAAAATTGTGTGCACTCTTCCTTTTGCGATTAGGTTAGGTCAATCTGGCTGGCGTTGAGCCGCACATAGGCCGGTAGGTCCTTAGCGTTGCCAGTTAATAGTTCAGACGTTAAAGGAGACATGACAAAGGATGTAAACGCTTATTGAGAATATCAGCTCTACTTTTGTGACATTTTTTAACTTCTAGAATTGATAAGCTCCCAAGTATTTAGTTGTATTTTTGACGACCTTTGCCCTAGGGGTTTCCTGATATCAATTTTTGTGCATGAAGAGCCACCAGGATATGCCCGGTAAGGAATCCGGTAACCACTTTGTAATTTTTCACTGATGACCGTCACAAGAAGCGATTATAATTATTTTCGGTGTTTTCGCACATCATTTTTGCAGTTTTGCCAGTGGTTAACTCATTCCATATAGACCTGAACTGCCTAATAATATTGTCGTGAATTTCGTTATACAAGTGTTGGTGTGGTCTATTAATGAAGCTGGTCTGTTCGAGTGTCAGACTGGTGGAGCGCTTGGCAGTCTCATCTGGTATTTCATTACTCTCTATTCCTTTGTGATCGGGTACCCAATAGATATGCAGCCTTTTGTGTGCGACCAGCCTGCCAATATCTTCCCGGCTGCAAAGGAGATTTCTGCCTTAATTACCGCCTGACTATTTATGTACATACATACGTATGTGTAAGTTTACTTTTCAGTTTATAAACGTTTCGGTGCACGCTACATGTGCTTGAAGTATGTAAGCTACACCGATCAAGTAACCTTACTGCCTACCTGACTTTCAGTTGCCAGCAGTATACTCCGTCGTGGGTGGCCTTAGCATTTTAGAGCCGTCCGTGAAAATGTTCAAGGAATATAGTTAGGTTTCATTCCTCTGCGCTATCCCTCCTACCCATCGAAACCTTCGTTCCCAATTAAAGCAATGTTCTCTTTTATCTGTTCTGATTGTGTTTCTCTGTTCTGTAATTGAGTTCCCCTATTGCCGTCAATCGTGTGGACTTAGCAGCGGTTAAGAAAATGGACGGTGAACTGAGGATTTCCTCTAGTCCACGGCTCAAGTGCCGCCGTTGGTCGATTTGAGGACGGATCTGTAGTTAATTGGCAATTACGGTTGCGAGCGCTTGGAAAGATAGGTGACGAAGGAAGATGGAAGAGGGAACCACCCTGTATGAGCCACTGTTTAATTTTTCTTAGCTATGACTTTTTTACCCGCTGTGGTGTAGTGGTAAGCAGTGCGCACTTCCACTCCGCAGCACCTGAGTTCAAACCCTGGTCAAAGCAACATCGCAAAAAATATAGAAAAAAGGTTATTTCTTAACAGCGGTCGTCCCTCGGCAGGCAATGGCAAACCTCCGAGTGTATTTCTGCCATGAAAAACAGCTTCTCATAAAAATACCATCGCCGTTCGGAGTCGGCGTAAAACTGTAGGTCCCTCCGCTTTGTGCGACAACATCAAGGCGCACGCCACAAATCGGAGGAGAAGCTCGGCCAAACACTAACATATGCGTAAGCGCCAATCTGTTATTATTATTATAATTATGACTTTTTTACTGTGGAAATAACTGACCAATCCGATAATTTTCTGACCACTGTTTGAGTCCCTGTGGAAGAAATGAGGCCTCTATTTCTTCTAGTAGCGTAGAATGACATACAGTGTCGAACGCTACTAGGACTGTTCTTCCACAGGGGCGGGTACGATTAGGGCAGCGAGTTATACGTGTGTTTATGGCAATATTTAAGTGCGGTTGTGATGCTGTGCACTTTCCGGGAGCCATGATTATGCTTCGCTGAGGTTAGGTAAAGTCCGGGAGTAGCAAGGTCTCTAATGTCTTCGCGAAGGGGGAGAGCAGTGTTATCAGTCGATAATATTCCCCTCTGTTGGCAGGTTTCTCCGGTTTCAGCAGTGGAACCGCTCTTCTCGGTTTCCACGCATCTGGAATGAGGAGAGGGGTCATAGACGTGCTGAGGATCTTGTGAGGTATTCTACTCCAACTGGTCTCAACTGTTTCATTATCAGCATGCATATTCCGTCGGGAGCAATGACTTTAGAGGATTTCCTCTGGTGGCCACCTGTAAATTTTTTAAGACTTCTAGTCACTCAACTTCGTCCACTTCGTCCACTCTGTCATCACGCTTCGTCGGTCTGAACAGTGACCTTACGGTTGACCAAAGCCTGCTTACACCAGAGGCGAAGTTGCAAGTCTTCAGGTGCTCTTCCCCCTTTTTCTGCTATACTTGCTACCAGTTTCCGAATCTGTGCATTAAGATCCCTGATACGGGGATTCCGGTGGTCACACCCATGCGCCGCTTCGGCTGGGAAATTCGGGCAGGTTACTGCTACGAGTCCAACAGGATTTAGGCGGTTAAGGTGCTCTCGGTAACTTCCGCGAAGCAGACCCAGTCAGCTTTCTTAAAGTTGACATATATACATATGTGCGCTGTTCCGTGGAATCAAAGTTGACAAGTACTAATAACAGCATGGGTCGCCACCACGATGTAGCGAACAGAGGGTGGCGCATTCCGCAAACCCCTACTTTCGTTTTGCCGATTTCTACAGATCTCGATTTATAGTAAACAGTGCCTCAAAAACTTTAAATGCACTGAAATTCACTATACGTTTTTTCATATTTCCTTTATTAATTTTTATTACAAAATCATTTATTTTCACAATTTAAAACAATTAAAACACGTTTCCTATCGAAAAATTGAATATTAAGATAATTGACTAATCTCACATTCTCTTTTATCCTCCTATTCGGCTTCGGTACTTTTTACCTACAAATGTCATCGCCGTCGGGAATGCGCAATCTTTAATTCTATCATTCGAGGGTCGCCACGTTATGCTATTTATCAGACCAGAGCTAACAATTGTTATGTCACGTGAGCTACTGCTGCTACCCATAATCCTGCTGCTCAGCCAAATGTATTCCCTTACGGTCGTTTGACAGGCGTGAGCACCAAAGATCCTGGTTTGCGTTAAAGTCACCCGCTACCATACGCATTTCATTTCTGAGGAGCGCGTCTATATTAGGCTCATATCATGCCGGGCAGCAAGTGACAGGGTGTATAAGCATTAAATATTTCGAGTTCAACAACGCCCGACCGGATAGCAATAGTTGCGTTCCAGATGCTTCACGATTTGCAGGTTTTACAGGAGTTGCAGGAAAAGTTGTTTTCTCCATGAATAAACCTTAAGGTGGTCACCTTGAACGGATTCCTGTAAAAACCTGCAAATCGTGAAGTATCTGGAGCGCAACTTATACCATACATTCTTAGATGATATTGCTGCGGTCGATGTCTGCTTCGTTGTGACGATACTGCACGGTGTACCTGACGCAGGTCACTGTGCAACTTCGTTTCTTGAATTGCAGCTATAAATATTCAATACCAGCCCACAGTAATATTTGGTCCCCATTTTTGGGAGGGTTGGGGGAAAAGCCGGGGGAAGCTATGGGAGAAAAAAAGACGACACCTATGGCTTTTTGCCGGAGAAACGCACCGTGCTCACAACGAAGCTCTTCAGTCGACTGATGTCCACACCCGAGAGCTCATCGGGAGTGTGAAAAAAGTGCGACCCAAGGTGCTTAAACCTTAGGCTCCCAAAGGCAGGGCACCAGAGCAGCAGATGTTGAGATGATTCCACCTCATCGTCCTCCATGCAGCTGGTGCAGTAAGGGTTATCCGCGACACTCAGCCTTACCGCATGGTTACCAATCACACAGTGACCAGTAAGCACTCCCACCAATAGTGAGAGATGCAGCTTGCTTAGTCTCAAGAGCTCCCTAGACCGCCCCGGTCCACCCGTGGCCAGAAAGACTTTGCCACCCTGCACTCCAAGGTGTTCGCCCAGCGCTCGCTGAGCTGGATGCAGTATCAACTACCGGCTAAAATAGCTCGCGCATCGCTCCGGGTCCGACGAAGCATGGTCACCGAAAGAAATTTCGACTCTGTCGTCGTGCTTCGTCGGGTTGGACAGTGACCTCACGGTTGACCAAAGCTTACTCACACCAGAGGCGAAGTTACAGGTCTTCAGATGCTCTTCGCACTTCTTCAGCTTATGTACGTTCACTAATTGCCAAATCTCCGCGTCGGTTGGTGTGGGGAGAGCAGCGATGGTGTTTTCAGTAAATTCCGCGAAGGCTTTCCAATCAGCTTTAGAAAAGTTGATATAGGTCCGGTGTTCCGCGGAAGCAAAGTTGGTTGGTTTATCGATCGAGATGACTATGGGCAGATGGTCTGATGCCAAAGTCAGCATAGGTCGCCATGATATGCTGTTTATCAGACTAGCGCTGACTATTGTTATGTCTGGCGAGTTGCAGCAGCTGCCCATAATCCTGGTGGGTGCGTCGTTGTTCATTGTGCAGAATGTCGAATCGTCTATCTGCTCCGCCAAGTCAGTTCCCCTACGATCATGTGACAGGCTTGAGTGCCAAAGATCGTGGTGCGCATTAAAGTCACCTACTACCATACGGGTTTCACCTCTGAGGAGCGCACCTATATCAGGGTGCTATCCTGCCGGGCAGCAGGTGACAGGGGGTATATACACGTTAAATATTTCGAGCTCAACATCGCCTGACCGGATAGCAATGCCCTGATATTCTAGGGTGGTATCCCTGCGGTCAATGTCTGCTTCGATGAGACGATACTGCACGGTGTGGTGCGTGATGAACGCTAGGCCACCACCATTATCTCGCTCGCGATCTCGGCGGTGCACATTGTACCCGGCACAATTCAACAGTGTTGAATTGCTGTGCTACTTCGTCTCTTGGACCGCAGCTATCAATATATCATATCTTACAATGAAGACGGTTATCTCCTCGATCTTGCTCTGAAGCCCGTTACAGTTAAATTGAAGGAGCTTCATGTGGTTCGGGAGACGTGTGGTGATGCGGGGTGTGAGAGATGTGTGTGGCTGTGACGCCATTGGCTGTGTGCGCTGCTGAGGTGGTTGCCCTGTGGTGGTGGTGGGTGGCGTCGCAGTTGAGATCTGCGACCGAGCAGTGCAACACAGGCCCTCGAGGTTCCTCGTCCAATCTCGCGAGGTGCGCAGACCTGAACATACCCTAAAGTGGCACCAGCCAAGGCAGGTGTTGCACTTGACTGATGTCACATTACGGAATATCGTGGTCTGACATACCGTGCAGATTGTAGAAGGAACCAGGAGTTGTTGGCGGCGGCATGTGGGTAGTGGTACGGATTTTTGTGTTCTGTGGTCTGTCGTGGTTGTGATATGGTCTATTGTGTTGTTATGCTGTTGTGCTGTGGTGATTGTGTAGGGCTGCTCAGGTGGACTGGGGTTGCTCAGGTGGACTGGGGTTAGCCGTGGAGGCCGCTCTGTTTGAGCAGCAGGGGGGCCACATACGGCGTGGTCCACTGCCGATGTGTCCGTAATCCTGAGCAGGCTCTAAGGTGACTCCACGCCTCGCAGGCATTACACTTGACTGAGGTGGAGTTGTGGTGTAGTCGCCTCTGGCATACACAGCAGGTGTAGGTTTCTGGCCCTGGGTTTGACTCGATGCCAACCCTGAGCAGAAGAATACGTAGCGAATGTAGCCCTATGGACGAACAACTTCTGAGATACTTCGCCGACCTAAACGGGGTTAGATCGCCGAAACAACAGCCCTTGGTCGGGTAAAACCAGAGTCATTCTGGTACGTAGATCCGGCTGTCGTGGGAATGGCCATCGTCGAGTCGTTTCGTGTGGTGAAGTTTCCAAAAAAATAGGCTCTGAAATGCTATGAGCTCAGCCAGCCAATTTGATGAGTAACGTGTCGAAATTATTAAGTCAATTTTTTCTAAGCATATGTTGTTAGTTATATTTTATTGATGATGTTAATATGTATGTAATATATATTACAAAAGGGATATTGAATGCACCCAATTTAAAAATCCATATATATGTACATATATGTAGTAGTAGAAAGTCTATTCCCTATAAACTAACTTATTTATAACATTTATTCATGCGATGTTAATCTATTACGTCAAGAGCTTTATTATTTTCCATTCATGCATACTTTAATGTATTAGTATGTTATTGCTCAAACAAATAACTAACTGGTAATGTTCACAACATTCACATATTAAAAAGGTATTATCTGCGATAAACCGTTTTACTTTAGACCATAGTCATAAAAATTTTTGAATAAATCGTTTTGTATGTATGTATGTGCATTGTCAAATAGAAATGTAAGGAATTTCTATATGCATCTAAAATAAGCTTTTAGTAAATACAGCACACAGCACCTGGGTTCAAGCCCTGGTCAAAGCAACATCGCAAAAACAAAAAAGGTTTTTTCTTAACAGCGGTCGCCCCTCGGCAAGCAATGGCAAACCTCCGAGTGTATTTCTGCCATGAAACACAGCTTCTCATAAAAATACAATCGCCGTTCGGAGTCGCCGTAAAACTGTAGGTCCCTCCGCTTTGTGTGACAACATCAAGGCGCACGCCACAAATCGAGAAGCTCGGCCAAAGACTAATGGACTGTTGTAAAAGGTCTTCAATACCAAAGTTGAAATTGTGCAAGGAAAGTAAGAAACTTTAAAAATTAAAATAACAGATGTTTCAGTTCTGAAGAAATATACATACTCGGCCCAATGCTGAATATCGTCATCGTCATCGTCGACGATCATCAGCGCATGGCTGACGATGGCCGTATCGTCTTTTTTTACTGTCGATGACGATATTCAACATAGGGCAGACTAAAACAAAGCTCTTCGTTTTGTAACTCATTGAAATTTAGGGCTTATCAGGGAACCAACTAAAAAATTGAAAAATGAAAGCTTTTCCTTAAAAATTGTAACTGAAATAAACTGAAGACACACACATTAATAGCAGCCCACGCTTTTCCTCGCGAAGTTGCGCGGGTTTTTCATCCGGAATGGAAACAAATGCTTCTAGACATGACCCTTCCATTGTGTTCTTGTGCGTCTTTGAATTCATGCCATTCAAGCCATTAGTGCTTAAATTTTCAATTTATTTAAACTTTTTAACGTTGTGACAATGGAGTCGAATGATTTCTTTGCTTACATTCCAATCTAATAAAAAGAAGCCACTTACTTTGGACCTCTTGCAGTGGTGATACGTTTTCATATGTATGTATGTACCTATGTAGACTTCGAAACATACATCCATATGTGAGTTATTAATTTGCATAAAGCGTTTACCTCTCATGATTAAATATTTCGTCTTTCTCTTATGATTCTTTAAATATTTTAATAGAATACAAACAATCATCATATCTTATGCCGATTTCGTTTCTACCGAAAAATGCAACCTTCTATTTGCCCTCTACGCACAAACACTAAGAAGAGGGCGATGAGAAGGCAAAATTTTTTGTAGAAACGAAGTCGCCATTAATTGCGTGAAAGTTTGGTTTCTTACTTAACTTCATTTTCTGGACAAGTTCGAACCAACAAAATATATTAATATTTAAAATTTTGCACGTTTTGACTTACAATTGGGGTCATGAGAGCGAAAGTGGTCTAACCCACAATTTTTTATTTTGGTAAACTTTTCAAAATAGTTTCTAATGCTATACATTTTAAAATAAAGGTCACTTATTATTTAATTTAATGGTACGCCATGTAGTTTTGTACCTTAATATTAAGGAATGAGCGACTTTTAGTTTTAAATTATCATATTTGAGAATCTTTTAAGTAGGTACCCAGCAAACACAGTGTCTTACGTTAGAGAAATTTGGATTTCTACAATAGATAACTAGGGTAATTCTCTAATCGTTCTCGAGTCGTTGACGAAGTTAGAGAACTAAATAAGAATTCGACTCGAGAACGATTAGAGAAACAACGCAAATTTAAATGAATTTAAATAAGCAATATTCCAAATGAATGAATCATAAATTATTTTTAAGTTTAATTAATTCATTATTATTTTATTGCGAATACATTTAATACAAATTTTATAAACAAAGCGTTTTATTTAATTAAGCAAAACAGCAGTTTGAAATACACATTTGAATCCCATTAGAGATCAACAATAGAATTCGATTAGAGAATTAATATTTTCTCGAGTCGACAACTGTGTCCCATTTTTGTTGAGATGGCTATGATTCTGGATAGTTTTTCCGAGTCGTTCTCTAACGTTTGAGATTGGAGAATGTGGCTAGTTCTCCAATCATTCTGTAATCGATAACAAACCTCAATGTTTGCTGGGTAAGTACAAAAATAATAATTTTGGGTTAGGCCACTTCTGCTCCCACGGCCTCAATTAACAAATGCACTGCGAATACGGCATTGCTCTCCTGTAAATAAATGACGACAGTTTTTGGTCCATCCTTGTACAAGCACAATTCAATTTGTGCAGTCCCTGATTTCGGCGTTAAGACCTATACTTACTTGTATATATCGATACCTTAATACAGAAGGGCCCTATCTCATATTCATTTCGAATCCAGATTTATACAAAATCTGTCAAATAGCTCACAATATATCTTATAGAAATTGAAAACAAATGTTACAGCGTTAGATAAAATACTATTATGTTAAATAAAAATCAGCACTTCGACGAAATTCGTAACTGTAGAACCTTGCTTTTCATACAATTTTCAAGCTATGTTTGAAGGGACAAAAATGTAATTAAGGTAACGATATACATACATATGTATGTATGTAAACCAATAATTGATTGAAAACTATGGTGTAATCGAGTTTTTTATCGGTGAACTATTCGAAGTTTTATTGTTATTCAAATTGTCGTTTTGATTTTAATTTCTATCATTTTCTTTGTTCAATAGAAAAATATGTAAATTGAGTTTTATCCATAAATACAAGTATTCTCTTCTATGTAGTATCATTTTAATTTGGGTATAATAATACATTCGATAAATATGGCTCTGGCGAGTGATTAGAAGGCTACTAAACTCACTACCACGTAAAATTTTGACTTTAGCCAATATTATTTTTTCATGTCGTACATATACATATGTATGTATGTATATACATGTGTTTACGTTTTCAAGCCCGCAAGCGTTTCGTAAATATTTTTAAGTTTCCTTTTTTTGGAAAATAGGAATTTTTCGAACTTAAAGCTAAAATTCTTTAAATAAATCTTAATTAATAAATTATATATTAAAGCGGTAACTAATCAAATAAGCATATTGCATTTATAGCTGCTTAAGCCATAGTAAACATAAAAAATGAGATAAATTATTTTACTGTAAATTCTAGTCATAGTAATGCAAGCATACAGTGCAGACGTTTAAACGTTCATCATACATTTGTGAAATTATAAATGTATAATTATATTGGGGCATATTCTTGTTTTCGTAGGAATTTTCCTATCATTCTCTACACAATGCGGTGTATTCTGGATTTCGTACGAATCGAAAATTTCAAATTTTTATATAGAAAATGATAGGACAATTTCATGATTTTCGATTCGTACGAAAACAAGAATACGCTCCAATAATTTCAAATTTTCGATTCGCACGAAAACAAGAATACGCCTCATTGATTTTCTTTTTTCATCAGTGAAACATAATCATCGGTATAAATTGCAGCTCTTGTAAAAGTTACTAAAAATTATTATTAAAACGGGTAAATACATGAGACCGCCTCCGTATATTTTTTATTATTATGTTCAACAGTCTCCGCACTGTTGTTTTTATTGCTTCTCTATCGGCTCATACTGTCTCCCATCCATTTCTTTTTACCATAATCGTTTACACTCAAAACTCCAACTGCATACCGACTTGCATTAAATCCTATATTTGCCGCTCATCTTTTGCTGTTAATTTATCAATGAGTTCCTGCAGTGGTGCCAATTCGCGGCGGTCAATTAAATTGAATTCTTGGACAAAGAATATGAAATGCTTAAAGGATGTGTTCAGGTGTGCCTCTTCACCCAGTGTTACGACCTCTGAGAAATGTTGATGGTAAATATGCGCATAAACACGAAACAGTCGCTTTAAAATGGTCTTAGCTATGCTGAGGAAATTCTTTGGGAATGGTATGCCGATTTTCGATGGGAATAGTGTCTCATCGTCGAGTTGATCTTGCACCCATGTCATAAGATAATCAATGTATTTCGGGGCACTACATTTAATCGGCTTCTTGACGGTAAGTCCATCCGCCCAGTGATATTCATATTTTGGTCCGGCTGACATGATAACACAACTTTCTTCGGTACAAAATTCAGTGATGGTACCGTACAACATATTGATTTGATTGAAGAAATCGACAGCTGCAAATAAGATATTTGGAATAACATTATATTTATCTACATACATAGAGAGCATATTTTATTAGAAAAGAAAACAACGTACTATTTACTGCGACCCACTCGTTGAGATCTTCACCGTCTGGCAAGGCGACAGCATTTCGTAAGTTTCCTGAACCTAATGTTGCTGCCGCATGTTTCATTAAATCATATTGGTGGGTACCTTCTGGTATATTTTTCTTGGGTTTAAAGGTTTTGCTAGAGCGTGATCCACTAAATAAAGTTATAAAAATAACTAGGATTATTGCAAGTATATTTATTTATTTATTTATGTCTAATAACGAAGTAATGTTTTAACAGGCATTAAGAGTAAGTATAATTAAATATAATAAAAATTTCGTTTATAAGGTTACATACAAAGGAAATGCAATAATTACGACAGAGAAAAGAAAAACAAATTGGTAAGATATTATTTACTGTACAAAAGGTATATTTCCAAATCTAATGCGGTTGTTCTAAGATTGGTAAAATCTATGTCTAACAAGTTTGAGAAATGGTTGTAGTTCGATAAGATTAAGATAATTGGCGCGTTTGCATCAAAAACCGTTCTGCTTAGCCCATCCTTAAAAAGATCAAAGCGACGCAAATTACGGCTCGGAACCATTTCCACGACATCCGGTTCTACGTACCGGAATGACTCGGGGTTTACCCGACCAAGGGCTGTTGTTTCAGCGATCTAACCCCGTTTAGGTCGGCGAAACCCATCAATCGTTATTCGATATTGGGGCTACATCAGCTCCGTACCATTCTGCTCAGGGCTGGCATAAAGTCCAACCCAGGGCCAGAAATTTACTCCTGCTGCGTATGCCAGAGACGACGGCATACAAACTCCACCTCGGTCAAGTGCAATGCCTGTGACGGATGGAGTCACCTCCGTAACTGCTCGGGCCTACGTGCGCACCGGCATTGGACCACGTCATTCGTAGCCCCAAGCTGTGCGAATCGGACCGCCTCCGTGGCAACCCACCACCCGCCCGTGCAGCACACAACCAACACACCCACACCCCAACACAACACAACAATAGACACACAAACAAATACCGCAACGTGACATCAGTCAAGTGCAAGGTAGGAGGCTGGTGTCATTTTAGGGCATGCTCAGGACTTCGCAACACGCGTGATTTGGCGAGTGACTATGTGGGCCCCTGCTGTGCTGCCCAGTCGCATACCTCCCCCGCGACGCCGCCAACGACCACCACAAGGCAGCACCTCCTTTTGCAGCACATACAGCAGGGAACCGGCAGGCAACACAACTCCTTAACTCCACACATAACAACTGGTCTCCCAAGGCACACAAAGGTGCTACAGAGGAGATAACTGGGATATGGGAAGGCATGGCAGTGATCGGAGTTCAAAAAATTCTGTGGTAGAATCTGGAGAAAAATGTGTTGGATTTCAAAAAAATGTGGTAGATCTCAGGTTTTTGATCAAACATTCGCTATAGTGTTTATACTTACGGCTTTATATCGGCATCAAAGTAACCGTCTTCAAAAGCAAACAAAATAAGCTGTTTTCATTTGACATTTTATAAGTTAACATAATGGAAAGTGATAAAAATCTAATTTTATTCGGCATTATAAAATCGTGGCAAAGAAAAAGAACGATTATTATTAATCAGCTTTTAAATATTGATGCGATTATTTGGAATTTGAGCGGAACAGCTGATCTCCAATTCGCTTTGAGTGAGAGCGGTGTTTATACACTCTTTCTAACTGTCTGGAGAAATAAACTACCGATTTGAAATGGAGTGTGAGCCAAAACACTTCGCTCTTTCAAAGCGAATTGAAATTCAGTTTA